ATTGTCAGTCACACAAACAATGCTATATATATATATATATATATATATATATATATATATATATATATTCCGACGAATTAAGAGCTTGTTCTTCTTGTGCATATGCAAATATGATCCAACTTTCCAAAACCCACGTGCTCCACTCACCGAATCTCTTTCGTAATCTCTATTACAACCAAATGTTATTTGTCTTACGTAAATAATTGTTTTTTTTTTTGTAACGGTGGGGAATCCATGGCATAGCCTTTCGGGTCGGATCCTTGGTAACGCTGGGACTTCCTTGTTCATAACTATTTATATTTTTCTCAGAAACTCCCCTGGAAGTTATCCCACTGCTCCATGAACTCCGAAAATGTAAATTTCAAATAATCGCCATTGTTCGTGTCCCAATTTGTTCACGCATAACAATTTTCTTCTTGTTTTCCAATCTCTCTTATTCATGAGTGTTTTTTTCATGCATTGTAATTTACCCTGCTTAAAGTCGAAGAGGCATATAAACACCCTTATAAAAGCGTACACATTATTTGTGTTGGTGGGCATAAATTAATATTTGGCGAGAAGACAGTAAGAAAGCATTGATTTTGATCGTGTTTTTGTAGATAATGCGAACTGAATAATAAAATAGGAAAAAAAAAATGTGATAATACGGGTTGGTCGACCGCCGGGCTTTTGCTTTGTTTCCTTCTGCTCCTCTTCACGTCCGCACATGTAAATGTACACTGTGATATACGTACATATATACGTAAGTGTGTGTGCCTACTTGCTCCTACAGTAACAGATTTGTACTCATGCGAGAGGAAATGACATAGATCGCCGTTCGTCACGTAGTATTTATATATGTTTCACATTAATTACTTATTTGCAGGGGGGAAAATATAAATAAGATATGCAAATTATACAAAAAGAGAGCATAATATATACAGTAGAGTTCAGAGACAGGCCACAGGGAACGACAAAGTGCAGCCCACAGAGAAAGAAAAAAAACATCAACATCAAACGACACCGTATTGGCTCAAGGTTGCTTTTCTAACCATTCGTTTAAATTAAACGGAGATAATATATGTTCGAGAAAATGTTGCGGGTTCATGTAATATGGAGGAAGGCAACTGTAGTTTGTTCACAATTATTTTGTTGGTATTCTTATACATTTTCCGATAAATATACAAGTACGGACATATATGCAATGCACCGTCTCTAAACAACTTGACATCCCTTAGCGGAGAAGCAATACATGTAATTGTCAAAAGGGGAAAAGGGATGAAGAAACTCTTCTAAGAGAAAACCATGCCCCTATAAACAAGAATATATATATCTTAGGATTTTTTTTTTTGTGGTCCTAAATATTCGATTCCTTCTATCCATAACCAAATATTAAAAATACACTTTTGGACGTACAGTACAAACTTCGTTCCTTATGTTCATTTCTTATATATATATTTATGTATGTACCTATAACTTTGATTTTCTATTACATTTGATTTATCGAGTTACCGGTTCAATTCCCTAGGCTTATTAGAAATTTCATATGGCAGCTTTAAAGTGATAATTGGTAAGAACACACATGACAAGACATGCATGTACATTTGTACATTTTATTATGTTTTAATCTGAGAAGCATTGATTCTGGAGTGTTTGCTATTTTTTTTACAACAAAACACGTTTTATTTTCTTTAAAATATACAGTTTTTATTTTTTTCGCTTTTATATATTTAAAGAATTTTATAAGAGAAGAATCTATTTTACACGTCAACTTGAAACTAAAAAGATAAACAAGAATATATATTATTTTGTATGTGCAGGTATAATAGTTTAATTATACAACAATCACCACAAAAGGACACGCCTTTTTTTGTATCCTTTTGTCTGCAATATTGTATCCCATTTGCCAATTACGTACGTGGAAAATTTTATTAGGCATATTCGACCACCATCATATTTTTCATATAGATGTCTAGAAAATTCGATAATAAGGAATGTTGCTCCGAAGCGTTGAGGCATTTTTAATATTCTCGAGAATCCCCGACGAATACTCGTCTTTAACACCGTACGTATAATATATTATTTCGATAATATTCGGAATTATATTCCTTCGCGAATATATGGGTTGAAATTGGGCTTGTATATTGGGCTTGGGTCAAAAGAAATTCTGGGTAATTTGTGGGCTTTTATGACATGGAGCACATATTAATTTATTTAGCAAATAAATGCCAAGAAATTCTGCCACGTGGACTGGTGAGGCTATGGATGACACGTGGAGTGAGACGAATGGTAATCATTCCAAGTGCATTTCTCTCTCACACGTTTCAGGAGCGCGAATTTGAAGCGATTTTCTCGACCAGACGTCGACTCCATCTGCGAAACGAGTCATCTGTACCATTTCTTCCTTCTCTGGATTTCGATCTTCTTTTCCGTAGCGATGCGTTTGCTTTTGTTCTAAGTTGACTTTCTCCACAAATGGCAGCGCCATCTCTCTTCCTCCATCAACCCATCTGCAGATTCGATTCCATTCGTTCCTCTGTTCCCGCTGACAATAATTCCCATCGTATATCGACGCTTTCGCTTCGATTACGGAGATCCAGCTCGACTTACTCCCTTGGGCTTCTCTTGAATCGGAGTATTTGGGCTGTTTCTGGCCCAAAAATTATGGAGGAGTCCGTCAAAACCTATGCCTGGAGAGATGGCGGCAGTGATGATGGAGAAGAACGAGTGCGGGTGTTCGAACAAGAGGTGTTAATTAATGGTTCATCGGAACCCCAGAACGAGTTGGTCGCCGGCGGCGGGATCGAAGGCACTGTCAATCGTCTGGTAAGTATTCGATATGCACGTATGTTGTTTGCTGAAATGCTTCTTCGATGCCATGAAACGCGATAGTTACCTCTTTTGCTATGTTTAGGTAGTTGCTTCTACTGTAAGAAAGGTTGGATTACAATCCCGTTCATTAAGTTGCGTCTCTTTCAATGGCAGAGCAAATGGGTTGTGGCTACTCTCTTTGGTACTGTTATTCTCTTAAGACACGATGGGACAGCCTTATGGGCTTTGATCGGATCCGTTTCAAATTCTGTGCTCTCTGTAGCTCTAAAACGAATACTAAACCAAGAGAGACCTGTTGGGACTTTGCGTTCTGATCCTGGGATGCCATCTTCTCATGCTCAATCCATTTCTTTCATCTCTGTGTTTGCCATTTTGTCGGGTATGTGACTAAACTCTTGAATTCATCGTTCACTTTCTGTATTTGGTTCATTTGGCCTTTTTGATGAAGCTCCAGATAACGGTTTTACTCTTGTGCAGTTTTGGAATGGCTTGGAACCAATGAAGTCTCTTTGTTTCTCAGCACCCTCATCCTCGCATCGGGGTCATATTTCGTAAGTCTTCATGTCATTCTTGTAGGATAACATACACGAGTTTGGGACATTGTTAATTCTGTGGAGGAAGCCAACAGTAAAGGTCTTATATTGTAGCTGAAACTTATATGTAGAATGATATAGCCCATTTTGTGAACATTGTTCTGCAAAAGCTGGTGAAATTGCAATTGTAACCTGCCTTTTTCTTCTTCGTTGGGTTTCATGGTGTTTTTTTGCCTTCCCTAGGAACAATATTTGAACTGGGTTTTCATAGTTCTCATGTGTGTGTATCCTGTTCGTATAATTGCAGACATGGTTAAGGGTTACGCAGAAGCTACATACGGTGAGTCAAGTAGTGGTGGGTGCCATCGTGGGTTCTGTTTTCTCCATCGTATGGTACATAGCTTGGAACTCATTTGTGCTTGAAGCTTTTGTCTCGTCCTTTTCTGTACGAGTTGCTGTCTTTCTGGCTGCTGCTGGATTTGCTCTTGGATTTGCCGTGTATGTTGTCCTCAATTGGTTTAGAGATGACCGATGAACTTCTGTTCATTCATTGTGCTAACCACTTTGACTTTCGGCTCTCCCTCTCCTCTATTCTTTCCAAAAACAAAAGGGGGGAAACAGAACAAATTGTGTACACTCCCTCGCTTGCCTCTAGTGAAAAATGACAAAATTGCTGTGAACTTGCCACGCGCTTCAACTGCGACTGAGGTTTGTTTGTTCACTGCTTGTGAAAGGTCGATGGGGAGGAGAAAATCATAATTGCATTAAACCATTCACAATGAGAGACCAACCCACTACGTATCTATTCAGACCATATATACGCTTCTCTGACCATATATACTCTTCTCTGGGAGAAACATAGGCTGCAGTCAAAGACCAAACAGGATGGATGCCCTTCTTAGAATTCATAATCTTCAGCCAACAAACACTTCTAACATCAAAGGGTTCAATCTGCTCTCGACGAAAAATTGCATAACCCAAATGAAGCAAATTCCCTAAGTAAATGAATGCTGAACAAGAACCGAGCCCAACATATTTGCTTCGAGTCCTATACATCCTATTCTCTCCTGAACAGATAAACCAACATAGTTCCTCAACTACTATTCACAAACATAGTTCGGCATTGACCACGACAGTGTTCCTCATCCATCTTTCATGGGCGGTTGAGGTTCAGCTAGACCGGATGATGATTTCCCAACAGGAAGGTACGCCCAGGCCAAGGCCGCACTCCCCACAGCAATAGTTGTCGCAATTGATCCCCAAATCCACCTCTTCCTCTTCTTTCTTCTTTGCCTCCGCTGCCTTGCGGCCTCTGTCTCAGGAACAAGCAATGAGCAAAACCGAAATCATGAGAGAAAAAAATCTGCTTGTTCTGTTTTGAGAAAAAGGGTGTTCTAGGTAAGTGATTTGAGGTTCCCACCTATGGCCTCTTGGTTCCGCTGGGACATTTCTCGGTTCACAGCCTCGTAATAGTGCAGACGATCAGACAAACGGACAATTTCAGAGTTCTTAGCTTCGAGCTTAGTTTCCATCTCCTTCTCCACCTCTGCCTTTGTCAGGCCCCTGCCAATGGAGTCTGATACAAGCCTGGCGACCTCGAGTTGGAAACAGAGTTGTTCTGTCACGCTCATGTTATGCTGCTTGCTGTCTGCGGAGGAGGTAGGATCAGCTGGAAGGGACACACCCACCTCAACTAACTGCTCCCTGAGCCTCTCCCAATGAGCTCGCATTTGCTCCAGAGTCTCGTCCGCTTGCTCCCTCTTCTCTATTTCCATTTGTAGACTCAATCTTACATCTCTCAGATCAGCTTCAAAGCCGTTTACAGAAGTCGGCACCTCACTATCGACTGATGATAGTTCTGGTTGAACCAAGATAAACATTCTTCATGTTAGAATTGCCAAATGAATGACAACAAAGTTCTCAAATACCAAGGAAAAGAGATTTTATGGAATGGTTACAGATACGCAGATTGCCCCTAAGAATTCAGCAATCTATACTATTGGAAACAGATAGAAAGAAAGAGAGAATACCATCACGAGCATCATAAAATTCTCCTGCAGATGTAGAAGAAAGCTTTTGAGAACTTTCAGGTGCTGCCTCATCCTCTACGTCTGTGTTACTTGTGAAGCTCGCGGATTCACCTGCGTCATAGAAATCTTCAGACTCACCATCCCGATCTGCTTTGGCCGTGACAGCCTCTGGTATATCAGTGTCCCTCTCTAAATCTGTGGCAGCAATATTGTCCTCAATCCCACCATTACTGCTATCTAGTTCAAGCTTTCCATTCCCCAACTCCCCATCAAGGGCACCACCACTCTGATGCAAAACAGGACCATTACGGATACCGATCAGATTATTCTTCTCAGATGGACTAGCACGAACCCCATTGGTATGACCCTCTTCAGTAGCCTCGGTGAAAGGAAATGAAACCGATGTGGACATCCTTAAAGCGGCAGCCTTTACATCTACATCTACATCTCCATCAGTATCTACCTCATTCTCAGTTTTCTGGCGCAAAGAAACGTCAATGTCAGAAGAGCTCTTTAGAAGACGTGGTCCACGGGATTTGTGATTGTTGATGTAAGGGGATGGAGGGAAGGAAGAAGGTGGATCCGGAAGTGGGATTTCCTCACGAGTGGCATAAAGTCCCGGTGACATTTGAGGACGAGAGACGGTTTTTTCTCTGGGCGGCCTTCCCTTACTTCTCTCCAGCTTTGAAATAGGAGGCCTTGAAGAGGGAGACTTGTCACTGGAAACAGTATTTGCAACAGATCCCGAAGCTCCTGGCTCTAGCAAGCTATCGAAAGCAATAGCAGAAAAGGTAGGCATTGTTCTGCATTATTAGAGATACACCGTTACTAAGGTCCATTCTTGGACAGCATAAGAGGAGATGAGACGAAGAGAACGAATCACCTAACTAAGTATATAAGCAAATAAGTTACTAAGATACAGTGAAACAAAGACATGGAAATGAAGAATAAGCATATGCAACAAGTCCCTTCAATTGCAGAACAAATGCAAAAAAGGGCCATGACAACATTGACAAGTCATGCAATCAAGTACTGGTCTGTCAAAAACAATCTGAACCAACCAACAACAGCTAACAGAGGATTGGATATTAGGAATTCCCAAAACAAAGGAGCGAGCTCAAACCACTTCGATTAGACCTTCACTATCATTAGATTAAAAATAAGGCACTACAAATACCAACAAAAGCTCCTAGGTCATAAGGCGGACAAGAATGCAGCTCTCAAACCTAAAACAGACAAGAAGCTCGGCACGAGGATAAACGGAAATATCGGAAGCAAATCAAATCACAGGGAGAAGCGACGGAAGGAAAAAGAATTCTGACGTCGAACCTAGACAACACAACAGCACAAGATTCAGAATCCAATCTCTGATGCAATTCTCCAAAAAGCAATCAGAAAACCGAAAAGAAAAAAGGACTAACAAGAAAACGAGAAGGATGAAAGGAATGACCTCCGGCACGAAGGAGAACTCCAAGCAGGAAAGGAAGATGGAGCCGAGACGATGGAAATGGAAGATCCTCTAACGGTGATGGAACAGAGAGGAAAAACGATATCGTTTGGCGGAGGGAAGGCAGAGAAGTAGACTCCGCAAATATTTGAAAAACTTTTTCCTTTTATTGGCAAATTTTATTTCATTTTTTAATGTTGAAACCTCTCCGTAATGTGTGGGGGGGTGGGTACCCAAAACGGTGGCGTTTAAGGGATATTTGATCGAATGGGTCATTTCATTTGGAATCTAGATTATTCAGTGACGTCACACCGTTGACGTGGCATCTCCTTGTCCCAGATTTTTTTCTCCCGACTAGACTACTAAAGAATGGGTCCGTAATTTGAGTAGCCCATGGCCCGTCTCTTCACGAATTGTAAAGCCCATTCTGGAACCTTAAATATTAAAAAAATAATAAAAATACGACTGTTGTATTCACATATGAAAAAAGTTTGGGTTTGTCAACTCCAAATTTGATTATTACACCAAGAAAACCAATTAAAGGAACATTGATTTGGACGTATGGAGTTTTGTTGGCGTTTACGTTTGATGCAAGGGGCCCTCGTCACCCATCGTTGTCTATATTAGGACTTTTTTTTTTTTTTTGCACGAAATTATTGATAACAATAATTATATATAGTTGGAAATATTCAAATGTTGTAGTTTCTTTATTAACATTTAAAACCCATTGTTGGGTGATTCAACCAGTAATACATTGGATGATTCAATCGGTAAAACTAGGTCCTATATATCCAATAAACTTTCAAATTATTAAAAAAATTAGGTTAAAATATGGAACGGATTCCAAAAGGGAGCAGTCTAAAGATAAAATCCATTCAGTCGTGTTTTTTTGTTTGCCAAAGAATGCACACCATTGTCAATAAATCCCGAATTATGATTAAAAAAAGGGTCTGAATTATTTGAAAAGCCATAGGAAATCAAAAGGGGTCGAGTAGGGGAAGATCGCCCAGACTGCGAATCTATCGAAGTTCACATAAATTAAATGAAAGTGTAACACCACATGTTACAGACATCACTGAAATGTCGGTTTAAGACATTATACATTGTTCGAAACCCATCGTAAACTCACTCTTCGGCCACCGTATCATCTGAAATAAATGACCGGAGAGTTGGAAGTGGGGTCCCACACTCCTCCCTCCTTCAGATACTCCAAATACCTCGCCATCTCTGGTTTTGATGTCACCGTCTTCTTCTTGTTCTTATTCTTACTCTGCTTCCTCTGGAAAGTAACGTCGAAGAAACTAAGAAGAGGGTGAACAGTCGTCCCCGTCGATTTCTTCAACTGGGAACTCTGTCCTGATTGCTTTGGGTTTATGGAAGGGCCGTAGAAACTCGAAGGAACACTTCCCACCCTCTTCAGCTTCTGTCCGAATCCTGAATCTTTTTCTTCTTCTTCGACCAGTTTCTGGTAGCCGCCATGGTTTCTTCTCGTGCTCATGGCTCTAAGCATGGCTGCTCTCTCTGTTCAACCGCCACAACCCTGAAAGTGAGAGCAGGTGGGAACTCTTTTGATAGGTTAGTTGTGGTGTTTGAAAGAGGTTTTGTTGGATGTACTAGATCTGTATACGAGTGGGCAGAGATTCAAGGATAAAGAATACATCTTATTTTGACTTTCTGTCCCAATTGCCAACCACCCTTATGAACAATATGTTAACCAGTGCGTCATCCATGATGTTTACTTCTCGCCTACTTGTCCTCGCCGGTCAAACTCTGCTATAAAGAAGCAGACAACTTTATGGTTGGGAGTTTGACCCCAACTCTGAAGCACTTCAATGGTCATCAACTCCTTCAGAATAAACGCAATACATTATAACTTTTACGGTAGAACCAAAATTATAACTTATATTCATTCACACCTCCCCCATCGCAATGTTCAACCGCCAATAGCATCCGACATCCTTCACGACTTATTGAAGCAAGAAAGAACAGAAATCATCAGACTGATAATAGAATCTTCTCAGTCGGATCGTCAGGCCATGCCCCTAACTAGACCGGCTACTGCCCGCTGCTTTAAGCAGACCTCTCTCCTTCATCACACCTCTCAGCTCGTTTACCAAGCCCCATTTCTCAATCACTGCGTAGAAATTCGAAACCAACACATAGCTGCTCGCGTTATCAGGGTCCATCTCCATTAGCCTCCTGGCTGCGTACTCACCTCTCGAAACATCCATGTTATGACTGCACGCATTCAAAATGGCTGCCCAGATTGGAGCCGTGGTCTTGCGATCGTCTTCTTTCATTGTACCCAATAGTTTCCATATCTCTTCCATATCACCAGACTTGCTTAACATTTCTATTAAACATACGTAATGCTCAGGTCCTGGAACCAACCCGTATTTCTCCTTCATCACACGTAAACATTCTTTACCCTCTTGAACTAGCCCTGCATGCCCACAGCCCGATAAAACAACAAGAAAGGTCACTGAATTGGGTGAGACTTGGCTTGATTCTTCACACATTTCCCTGAAAAGTTCAAGCGCTTTATTGCCATGCCCATGGACAGAGTACGCATCTATCATACTCGTCCAAGTAACCACATCTTTGAACAGAACACCTTCGAACACAGCACGAGCCTGTAATATCTTTCCACTTTTGGCATACATGTCCAGTATAACATTGCATAACTGGGTATCTGAAAGGAAACCATGCCGTATGGCAACACAATGTATCTGCCTACCAATCCATAGATCTGTATTCTCAGAACAAGCAGCAAGAGCACTGGTAAGCGCTCTCACATTTGGTCTAATACGACACAAAATCCGAAAAGCTTCATTGTACCTTCGGTTTTCAACACACCCAGATACCAGGGAGTTCAACATGACCTCATCCGCTGGAGCATTTAAGCTACTATAAACCTTCATAGCTTCACTCATTAACCCGACACTCGAGTAGAAATCTATCAATGCAGTACCTGAAAACACGAGATCACGGCCCATCACAACCACCAACGCATGAACTTGCTTTCCTTGTCGCAATATCCCATGTACACCACCTCTCTCTACTTCCCAGTGGCTCGCTTCTAGCTATACGGTTAATATCACAAGATATGGAGTAGTTGATCAAGAGAGTATAAATCATTATTTGGTCTATGAGGGTTATCCATGAACCCATTGTTTTGAATTGTACAATTGGCATAGAATAACTGAAACAAATTATTTCAAAGAAAGGTGTGAAATGAATTTGATGGGATGGGAATGCGAAGAAGATGGGCTAAATCACATCCTTGATGAATTGCTCTGTGAGTGCTTTGGAAAGTCCCATGACTGTATCGACCGCTCCCACCTATATAGCATTCATACACAGGAATCCTACGTTAATCTCATTGATGTGTTAAAACAAAACCCCAAGACCCTGTTTTCTTAAATAGTTCGAGGGCACTAACCACAGTGTCAACAAATGGCAAAGTTAGGGGATGTTCAAGCATTAAACCTCCGGCTACGTTGATCGTTATGCCCTCCTCAATCTTACGGTAAAGGTTAACGTAGATGTCAGAAAACATATTGGAGACAGTTATACCAAAGAAGAATTGCCCGTGTAGAGGTTTTACCATGTTTTCCCTCACCATTTCTGCAAAAACGCCCAGAGCTTCTTGTCCGTAACCGTTTCTGAGACAACCCGAAAGCATAGCATTCCAGGAGACCACATCTTTGTCCCTAACGTCCTCAAAAACCTTAACGGAATCACCCAACTGCCCATACTTGGAGTACATGTCGATAAGCGCAGTTTTGGCGATGACTCCTGAATGAGCACCATGTTTGATCATCAAGGCGTGAACTTGGCGGCCACGTTCAGGGTAAGGCAAGACGCTGCACGCGCCTAGAACGGGAGTGAAGGAGTAAGGGCTGAGTTCAAGGCTCCCACGAACCATCGAAAGAAAAAGAGCCCACGTCGCATTTGGGTTCCCGTTGCGGAGGTAAGACGAGAGATTTGAGTTGAGAGAGTAGACGTCTCGGTGCGGCAATTCGTCGAGCACATTGTCGACGTGAACATGAGCATGACGCGACACATACCGCCGAACAAAATTCGTGGGTCTCCTAGCGATGTCACCCAGATAACGAATGTGTCCGTAGCGCAGACATGTAAACATGGGATCAAATCGAGAGAGAGAGAGAGAGAGAGAGAGAACCGCCCGTACAACCCCTACCGCCTCTACCTGGTTACCAATCGGAACCCGTAACCAATGGGAACCCAGAAAATTCTCATTGGATTTGAATTGAACCGTAACATCACCCTCTATATGGACGTAGGAAAACCGATATATGCTGATATAGCTTGCAATTAGAAAACAATCGCTTATATAGCTTGCGGATTCTCAGGTCCTTCGGATTTTGCAAGGAACAACGTCAAATCTGAGCCGTCTATTATCGTACCTCCGATTGATCGAACGGTCGTTGACGACCTTATGTCTGGACCACAATAATTTACTTCCCACCTCACTTGTTCGCCAGTGAACAGATCACGACCGTTCATTTCAGTGCCCCTTTATCCTACAATAAAACGGCGAACCTTATCCCCAAGGACTGAACCTCCCTTCCTTCTCTTGGTGATCGTTTGAATTGCCGAAATGGCGGCAGTAACCACCTCGGTCGCCTCCATGGACAGGTCCTTCTTGGAACATAACCTATCGGATACGATGTCCTGTCTCCGACAATGCTCAAACACACAAGAACTGAAGCAAATCCACGCTCGAATGCTGAAAACCGGCCTGATGCAGGACTCATCAGCAGTGTCAAAGTTTCTTTCTTTCTGCCTTTTCAAGAATCCTCCATGCTTTTTACCTTATGCCCAGATGGTGTTCGACAGCTTACATCACCCTGACACGTTCTTGTGGAACCTAATGATCAGGGGATTCTCGTCCTCCAATGAACCGGAGAGGTCGATTCTTCTGTATCGGCAGATGCTTTGTCGTTCGGCTCCTCTTAACGTGTATACATTCCCGTTTCTGCTCAAAGCGTGTTCCAATGAATCAGCATTTGGAGAAACAAAGCAAATCCATGCACAAATCATAAAGTTTGGATATGCAGGAGATGTCTATGCCACAAATTCTATGATTAATGCATATGCAGTAACAGGGAACGTCCAATTTGCTCATCGACTCTTTGATCGTTCCCCATTGCGAGACATTGTCTCATGGAACTCGATGATAAAGGGATACGCAAAGGTTGGCAAGATGGGCATTGCCTTGAAGTTTTTCCAAAACATGCCGGAAAAGAATGTTATATCGTGGACGACGCTGATATCAGGGTATGTTCAGGCAGGCATGAACAAGGAAGCCCTAGACTTATTCCGCGGTATGCAGAATGCAGATGTTGAACCAGATCATGTTTCACTGGCCAATGTCATTTCAGCATGTGCACAGCTTGGGGCATTGGAGCAAGGGAAATGGATCCATGCTTATGTCAGTAAAAGAAGCATCAGACTCGATTCGGTATTGGGTTGTGTTCTTATTGATATGTACGCAAAGTGTGGAGAAATGGAAGAAGCTCTGAGTGTGTTCAGGAAAATGAAGAAGGACAGTGTACAAGCATGGACGGCAGTGATTTCTGGGTTTGCGTGTAATGGCAATGGAAGAGCTGCGCTTAGCCAATTCATGGAGATGCAAAATATGGGAATAGAACCAAACGAGATTACTTTCACGGCTGTTCTCACGGCTTGTAGCTACAATGGACTGGTTGGAGAAGGAAAGTTACTATTTCGCAGCATGGAGAGAAGCTACAACCTGAAACCCACGATCGAGCATTACGGCTGCATGGTTGATTTGCTCGGCCGAGCTGGACGGATCGATGAAGCCAAAGAGCTCATCGAGAACATGCCGTTGAAGCCGAACGCTGTCATCTGGGGCGCACTGCTCAAAGCCTGTCAGATTCATAAAAACGTCGAATTGGGAGAGAGAATAGGAGAAATCCTGATGAGAATGGATCCTCACCATGGTGGAAGGTATGTTCATACGGCGAACCTTTACGCCATGGCCAGAAAATGGGACAGAGCAGTGGAAACAAGAAGACGGATGAAAGATCAAGGAGCTCTGAAAGTTCCAGGACGCAGTACAATTAGCGTGGATGGAACCGTCCACGTATTTTTTGCGGGAGACAGATCGCATCCAGAGATAGAAGGGATCCATTCAAAGTGGAAAGCGATCAGAGCAAAACTTGGAGAAAAGGGTTACATGGCAGAGGCAGAGGATATGCGGATTGACCTTCTGGAGGAGGAAAGAGAGGTGGAGATGGCAATGGAGCAGCACAGCGAGAGGCTGGCTATTGCGTATGGGATGATGAAGAGTAAAGCAGGCTCCACTCTACGGATTGTGAAGAATCTTAGAGTGTGCAAGGACTGCCACACTGTAACAAAACTCATCTCCAAGATCTACCAGAGAGACATCGTCATGAGAGATAGGATTCGTTTCCATCATTTCTCGGATGGGAAATGCAGTTGTGGGGACTACTGGTAACCAAATCTGTGAATTCTATGAAAGTGGCTTATGATAAGCTAAGCTGAATTTTTAAAAATTGGGTATCAATTAGAATATCTTAACATATCAATATGACAAAATAAAAAAATTGCAACGGGGTTTTCCAAAAAAAAAAAAAAAAAAAAAGGTGCTTCTTGTTGTTTTTTTTTTTTTTTAGAAAAAAGCTTATTTATGTGTTGTAAATAAATATGTACCCACCAGTCACGCAATGGGTCCTGGCCCATTTTGAACCGTAAGCCCTCCGGCTGATGATGAGGCCACCGCCGGTGAAGAAGAGAAATCGAGGGAGGGAGGAGAGGAAGGGAAGACGATGATAATGGAAGATCGACCAGAGAAACAAAGAGCGAAAAGATCTCAACGGGAGAAAGGAAGATCGTGCACAGGCTATCTCTTTTACAACTCCACGCTCAAATCCAATGCTCAGAACCCTGCCTGCATCGGCTTATCTCGTGCTCCTCGGCCAGGTCATTTTCCTTCATCCCTTGCTTTCTCTACTTGATGTCAGATCAGATTAGGCACTTCTTTGTCATTTATCTGTGCCTGTGTGCTAGGGTTTCTTTATCTGAACCTAGGGTTCATGTATGTTTCGCTGTATCTACTATCTATGCCAGGAATACATATACTTTCACCATATAGATATCGGAACGTATGACAATACTCTCTAATTCAGGAGTATTCTATCGATCACTTACTGAATCTCCATGATACTTCATTCGTAATGATTCAGAATATCACTTCTTTCTTGTATTGCTATTGTTCATAGTATTGAACAATCAAAAGGATCCCCAAAAAATCTTGGTAATTTGACAGTTCCTGAAGCCTTTGTTGGACAAACTGAAACCACATACACTGAAAATGGGCGGACATTTGCAAAGTTTTACTATGATTGTGTGGGATACTCAGTGTACTTTACTGAAAAGGACTCGTCAGCTATGAAGCAGGATGCCCAGGGACACCTTCCTGCTTGCATTGGTCTTCAGGTTCTACATTTTCTCCATTGCTGTTTTAGTGTAGTGTTAGTGTATATGCATAAAGTCAGATGTAAGCATGTCTGATCTGATATATAAATAGAGTGTTGATTTTTAGGGGTGCTAAAGTCAGATGTATTCTGCAGACCGACCTTGTTTGTTCTCATTCACTTTTAGTGTTTCATTTCATGTAGAGGGTATTAGGTAATAGACAAGCATCTCCCGGGAATACTTCATCAGCTCCTTCTCATCTTCACAATAGAGATGGTACGCTTCTTCATTTCATAGACTGGTTTCACCATTACTGAATTGACCTTCGTTTTTACATGCAAATCCTCTTCTTTATTTTTCCCTTTCTGTGGTAACATTGTAGAAGCTCGAGAGCTTCCTCCACGACAGACCCATAGACCAAAACCCGCAGCTGCCACAGAGGATGGCTTCCTAACCAGGTAGGCAATCAAACCAACAAGCTCTCTGACTTTTCCGTTGAAATGAGGCCGAAACACACAGACTGTTGTGTCAGGTTCACGAGAAATGCAAATGTGGTTGCATCGGGTGTGGTGAAGAACATGAAGAGAGTAGGCCGCTATGTCAAAGAGACGGTGGACGACGCCTTGACCTCAGACCGAAAGAGACACAAGTAATTGAACATAGTGGAACCCTACCGCAATAAGTATAGAAGACGGGGGCATCCTCTCTGGGTTTTTGTTTTGTCAAATAATGAAAACAACAAATGTGATGTGATTGTATATGGTAAGGTGATTAGGAGACTCATTGAACAAGCTTCTCTCTGTACTCGCTCTAGCTTTTATTTACATATGCTACTCCCCAGGTTGTTTATGTTTACAAACGGCACTCACTATCTTGCCGTTTCTAACTCATCGAAACAGCAAGTAGTTCTGCTTACTCGGCCTCCAACATGCATCCCAGTCCCATGTACACCACCTCTCTCTACTTCCCAGTGGCTCGCTTCTAGCTATACGGTTAATATCACAAGATATGGAGTAGTTGATCAAGAGAGTATAAATCATTATTTGGTCTATGAGGGTTATCCATGAACCCATTGTTTTGAATTGTACAATTGGCATAGAATAACTGAAACAAATTATTTCAAAGAAAGGTGTGAAATGAATTTGATGGGATGGGAATGCGAAGAAGATGGGCTAAATCACATCCTTGATGAATTGCTCTGTGAGTGCTTTGGAAAGTCCCATGACTGTATCGACCGCTCCCACCTATATAGCATTCATACACAGGAATCCTACGTTAATCTCATTGATGTGTTAAAACAAAACCCCAAGACCCTGTTTTCTTAAATAGTTCGAGGGCACTAACCACAGTGTCAACAAATGGCAAAGTTAGGGGATGTTCAAGCATTAAACCTCCGGCTACGTTGATCGTTATGCCCTCCTCAATCTTACGGTAAAGGTTAACGTAGATGTCAGAAAACATATTGGAGACAGTTATACCAAAGAAGAATTGCCCGTGTAGAGGTTTTACCATGTCATCTATGACTTTATCCGGTATCTCATGGAAATAGACCTGCATTACAACATTGCCAACGTCAACCTAAGCGTTCAACCCGCCATAGAAAGAGTGCTGAACGAGAAAAGCAACGGTCATACGAAAATTCGGAAGAACAAGAACAGCTCTGAGAGACGTTGAGACAACTGGCTGTACCCTTTTTCAGTATCTCTTAAAGCTGTTATTCTACGATCAAAGATCACTCTTTTGAGAAGAATGGAAGACAAAAAATACCTCTGCTTTGTCCCATCCGCCTTTTCTTACACCGGTTTTGAGGTTTGTTACGAGCACAGATCCTACAACAGCCCCATGCGATCCAGAATAGCCTACATATTTCAGACAGTGTGCTTATTAACAGTCAAAAGTGGTTCCAAGTATAGGTGGCGAAAGGGGCAATGGCAGACCTCTAATAAATTCACGAGCTTCTTCCTTGCTGGTTGGTTTTTCCCTTATGACTCCGTTGTAGACGACCACCTTGGAATCCATTTAGACAACCTTAATTAGAGACAAATCACAAACAGAATCCGGTTGTCTTCAAATGCACTCATACAATATGGAAATAGAATTCAAGGGTTTAAGTCTACTGTGTCCGCTGTAATCAACAACGTTGGCTGAGTATCATTCATGAACTTGCTTTTGTCCCCAAATCTTGATATAATTGCATCTGCCTGTAAAAGACATTCATTTGCGAATAAAAGTTAACCATTAGTACACAACACAATATTAGAGGATACAACAAGTACAAATGCAGTTTTAACAGAAGCAAGCCACTACCTTGACCTCGGCAAGAGCGACGACCAAATCTTCAGGCTTCTCCTTCCTAATACTTTTTTCATCAACGTCCGCGGTCTTCAATCATAAAACCCAGCCAAGGATTTCGAAATTACAGCCATTATATCAGTAGAAACCCTTCATAGACCGACACAATCACAACAAACGAAAACCCAACTCAAAAAGAGAGCAAATCGATACCATGATACTGAAATCATATCCCATCTCAGCCAGAATTCGCTTCCTCGCCATTGACTGAGAGCCCAGAATCACCTTCACGTTCAAAATATTCGCATCTCAAGAGCATTTTTCCAGGGAGAATTTCTGAGAATGAAGAAACTCTACGGAGAACAAACGTTCAAACCTTAAAGCCGCGCTGTGTCGCCTTTGTCGCCATCTCGGTGTTGGTGTTGCGCTCTGCTCGCAGGACAGGAAGGGAAAAGACGCAACGAAAAAATTCTCTGGGAGGGGCCACCGAATCTTTCTACAACTATGCCATCCAATAGGAAAAGGACACGTAGAACAAGTTAATGAGGCTATTATTTTGTAATTTATTTTAAAAATTGGGGCGAAAACAAAGTTAACAGGAGATTTATAGCAACTGCAGTCTGCAAGTGCTTCGATTTTCGGATGAAACGTCAGGCAGAGAGAGAGAGAGTTTTCGTTATCATGTATTTTAATGAAACGACGGTTATCCACGAGTAGCTGTACCCGTATAAACAACATTTATAAACCTAAAATTAAAACAAAATCCAATAAAGTCATGAAAATTTTAATTTAAAAATAATCAAATAATTAAATCAAAGATTAAAAAATGATTAGAATAGAATCAACTAATGAACGAGGTAAAGAAGAGTTGAATTCAAGAATCCTAATATCTGGTCAATGACTCGAATAAAAATCTCTGGTCTATGAATAATCTTTCAAGGTTTAAATAAACACCTCCACCCACTCGTCTCCGACAATGTCTACAAAACGGGTTTAAATATCCAGCCCTATCTACCTACCTAACACTATGCATCTGCACTCTGCGATATGAAAACTCCTTTTGAATCGTAAATCCTCCGACTGAGCAAGAGAGTCTACCTGATGATCGAGAACCAATAAACCAATGAGAAGTTGGCACGTATAACCAACTGGATGCCCAAAACAAACAGCCAACAGAAAGCTAAAACTAAGAGCCGTCGACAGCAACCGGAAAGGATCGGTCGAGTCAATGGCTCAAAAATGATCAGCGGTGGTCCCGGCGGGGCTCGAACCCGCGACCTTCGGCTCATAAGACCAACGCTCTAACCAACTGAGCTACGGGACCATTTGGTGATGGTTTTTCGATTTACAATAAACCTGTTAATTGAATAAACCTTTGAACACTTCCCGATCCTCGAGTTTGTTCCTCCGTAGACAGAGGCGAGGAAAGGAGGATCGAGAGGAGGAGAGAGATGACTCTGGGGCTGATCAACGCCAATCCGATAGTGCATGCCAAGAGGGAGCGAATTGCTCGTCCTGAAGACCTGATTCTTCATGGACACGACAGCGTTGACCCTCTCGACATCTATGATATCCTCTCCCACGCTTTCAATTTCCTTTACTTCTCTGGGTTTCTTTGAAATTTTGATCCTTTTCTTTTGTTAGATGAAAGTTTAAGCTTTTTCTTTGGTTAAAGCCCTAAAATAAAATTTTGCTGCTAATAACCCTCTTTCATCGTACCGATGCAACGTTTCCGCTGATTTTTGTTCGAAGTAGCGATTCTTTAGTTTCATGTTTGGATCTTTGACGAAAATGCGCAAATTATGTGAGGGATATAAGAGATCCAGAGCACCCGTATTCTTTGGAGCAGCTAAGTGTTCTGTCTGAAGAATCCATCACTGTCGACGACAAGCTCGGTCGTATCCTGTGAGTTATATATACTCTTTCTACGTTTTCTTCCGCTGTTGTCTAGTTGTTATTACATGTGATCCTGCACGCAATTATCCTCAGAAAGCTGCTGATTTTGATCAATCTATGTCGGGTTTTGTTTTTGGGTTTTAGGAATCGGATCCGAATAGCGGAGCCCTCTGTGAATCCTGTAATCTTTGACAAATCTGGGTTTGGTCGTGTGATGAATTCAGGATAACGTTTACTCCAACGATCCAGCATTGCAGTATGGCAACTGTGATCGGTCTGTGCTTGAGAGCTAAGCTTAAAGAATGTTTTCCTCCTCATTACAAGGTCAGCAATTGATTCAATTGTTCGTGTCTTTTCTCCTGGCAATGAAGGATTTTCTACATTGAAACTCGCTTCATCTCATGTTAGATGTGTGTCTTTGCTTGATTTTGCAGGTTGATATCAGAGTGACTCCTGGTTCTCATGCCGATGAAGAGTCAGGTGAGATTGCATAACACCGTATTAGTTCATCGGTTCAACATGCTATGAACTGCTTTGTTTGTTTGCCTTTCAAACTTTGCCAAGTTTAGAACTGAAAGGGAATGGACTGTTGTGTGGAAACTGTTCTGGCACGGATGGTTGATCCCTAGAAACTTCTGTGTATCTTGAATTCCTGCTACTATCTGTAATCTACGAAAGTTAGTAACTTTTGTCATGTGTAGTACTTGATGAGATGCTCTATGATATGTTTACCAATCCTCTGATGTGTTTCTGTGAACTTTGGTTCCGGGTTTGGATCAAAGGCTGAAATGTGGAATCGGTTCATTGTTATTGCAGTGAATAAACAGCTCAATGACAAAGAAAGAGTGGTGGCTGCATTGGAGAATCCGAATCTCCGTCAGCTCGTGGATGAGTGTATCTACTCCAATGAGCTTTGATCGAATTTGCGCCCTCTCCCTGGTTTGGTTCTGTTCAACTCCTTGTACAGGTTAAAACGTTTTCCTATAGCTGGTTATATGACATGTACTGTCCCTGCCGTATTGCTAATGTGATTGCATGAATTCCATGGTATTCTCCCATTGTTGTATACCTCCTATAACTTTACAAGCTTTTGTTCAAGGATAATGTAATCTATAACCAAGTGGGGATCAATCGCCTTGTTGATCTACGAATCTATCGTTAGGGTATGCTTCCTTATGCTAAAAATAGCCTTGAGAGTCAGCCATTCAGGCTTTGCTTGTGATGAACTCAACCATTCTGTAAAAAAAAAAAGACAATGGGTACAGATACTATAAATATAGGTTGGCATATAGTACATCTATCTACGGTTGTCTGGATTCATTTATTGATATTCATAGAGGTTATTTATGAATCAAATCCATGGGAAATCTTGAAAAAATTTGGAAAAGAGGTTGGGGTTAAATGTGGCATTTAGAGCGCAACCTACTGAGCATCTCAATGTGGGGAATAGAGGGCCATGTGGACGAAAACAGCAGCCCGCCACCACCCACAGATTAAATATTCCGACATTAATGTGAATGTGTACTTCTGCCCTGTCTTGTGATTAAACAAGACCCATCTTGTCTATTTAGATGTTTTGTTACGGTAGAGCTTCTGGTCAAAGATTCGGTTGACTGGCTGTTTAGTATGGCTTTGCCGCTTCTAATTAGTACGTTGATTCAGAATTATTCGACCATTTGATTAACACATGATTAGTTAAACTTGTATTTGTAGCGTAGCGTATGTCGCCTGAGCTGAGACGCGATTTTCCATGCCCTGCTCTCGTGTTGGATTTTGGATGTATTCTGTTCTTGTTTCTTGGGTTTCTTAATTATTTCGCTGCATAAATGATCCCATTTGCTGATGCTTTCATTTCTCATTCTCTTCTTTTCAGAAGAACCTAATAGATATTTTAAGTTAGATCATACATGCATGTGCGTGTGTGTGTGTGTATATATATATATATATCCTTTAATATGTAAAAAATTTCATTGGGTCAAAAACACACCTTGTGAAAGAGAATCAGTCGTTACTGTCGAGTTATGGTTGCCACATGAAAACACGAATTGACCGCACTGAATATGATATCGTCGTTTTGCATTTGTTTTGTAAGGAAGATTTGTCAAATGATTTTTCACCCACCAGGTGAAGCTGTAAAAAAAAAAACAATTACAAAGTCCACACCACATCTCTCGTCGTGTGCGCAATATTTGTCGGATAGTTTTCCTTATTACAAATCCACATCTTTCTCGTTGTCTCGAGATTTCTACTCATACAATCCCTGTTATACATTCCAAATTCTATCCTATGATGAGAGTTTGTTTGGCTGTCTGTCAGTTTATGTTATTATTATGAGATTACAATCCATAAATTTTAACTATAAAGATGGAAAGAAATCCACGGAATCTAATAAGAACTCAAGGAGCCACACCGAAATCTTATCAGTTTGAGGTAAACGTTAAGACTTTGCACGCAACGCGGCTCCTCCGACGCGTGCATCCTCATCATTCATAGTCTTGTACTATTGGAATTATCCAACCTTTTTTTTTTCTTTTTTGTTTGCGTCAATAAATTCAGAGGGGTCTACAAAAACATTAAATAAATGCCATCACCATATCTTTGCTTCCACATTCAAAATTCGAAAGAAAGAAAAAAATTCAATTGCGTTTCCTTTACATCTGGATGGGAACACGGCAATAATATTATGACTCCCTGATTTTCATAAAAATATATATATTTTTTTATGGCTGCCTTGCACTACACATGGTTTTCCTAATCGTCAAAAATTCCCTATTTTTCTAAATTAGGCGAGGCTCCGATTTTCATTATTTATTATTTCAAACGGAACAGTCCAAAAGCTCCTGCGCAGTTTTTTTTTTAATTTTTAACTAAATGAGTAGTACAGCACCGACGATCACAAATGCTTTGTGGCTCGTCTCCATCATATTATAAATAAAATGTTTCCAAAAAACGAATCTCATGTGCTATGACTAAATAGATATACAATGTTGATCAAAATAATGGGAAAATGCATTAATAGAAGAAATAAATCAGGGAAGCTAAAAATAGAGGGGTTTATAATAATTGTGGTTAACAAGGCAGTGGGAGTTGCCTCTTTCAAAGCGCAACTTCTCTGAAAATGTGTCTAGTGTTTGAAGTGGTTGAGATTCTGGCTGTTCTGCAACCATGGATTTTTTCTTTATAAAAAAAAAAAAGGAAGCAAAAGTTGGGGAAATTTGCAGTTTTAAAAAAAATACGAGATCCCCTTTTTCGAAATCCGAATAAAATTTAATCTGTCCCTTTCTGATGTTTTAGGATTCCAATTCCTTCCCTTTCCCGTTCTCTTTCTCTCTTTCCATAGCAGTCTCCGTTTTCCTATACAGAGAGAGAGGGGGGAAGGTGCAGGAATATACGGTGTTCTGTGGGAGTGAAAGCGAAGGTGATTTCTCAGAAGTGGCTGGTAACACGGCGTTTCTCTCTGGGTTTTTCTCCGATGGCGGTAGAGAAGTCCAAGGCTCAAGCATGGTGATGAAGACAAAACACGGGATTTCATGTGTGTTTTCGATGTTTTATGAAAGTTCGAATGCTGGTGATAATACCTTCTTTCTCTTTTCTCTGATTTGATGCAGGTTCTGTACCACGGGCTTGCCCAGCGACATTGAAATCGAAGTTGACGATATGACCTTTCATCTTCATAAGGTGCTGCAGAAACGCCTGAGCTTTGTCTTCTTCTTCTTCTTCTTCTTCTGTTTCTATAGTGTTCACTGACAGTTTTTTTTTTCATGGCCTTCAGTTTCCTCTCATGTCGAAGAGCGGGAAACTTCACTTGTTGATAACAGAGCAAGAGACCAAATCATTTTCCTCCGCGAATCTCCGGCCGTCGGCGAATCTAAATTCATCAGTCTCCGCCGCGGAAGACAGTGATGGAAAGGGAAAACGCCATGAAATCGAGGAGGAAGAGCAGGAGTTGGAAGAAGAAGAAGAAGAAGAAGCCGGTTCTCCTTGCATAAAGCTTCATAACTTTCCAGGAGGTTCGGAGACTTTCGAGTTGGTGGCTAAGTTCTGCTATGGCGTCAAGATCGATCTCTCCGGATCCAATGCCGCTCCGCTCCGCTGCGCCGCCGAGCACCTCGAGATGACAGAAGGATACTCACCGGAAAATCTGATTTCCAAGGCCGAAAGGTTTCTCTCGACGTCCGTCTTCAAGAGCTTGCGAGAGTCCGTCAAGGCGCTGAAATCGTGCGAATCAGTCTCAGGTTCAGCCGAATCGCTAGGTATAACCGATCGGTGCATAGAGTCCATCGTCTCCAGAGCTTCGTCAGTCGATCCGTCACTGTTCGGTTGGCCGGTAAACGACGGTGGCGGCGGAGGGGAAGGAGCGATCTCGGTCACCGATCCGCCGCTTCTTCCCGGTGATGCGTCGAAACAGGCCGATTCGAGAAGAAAGAAACCGACTAGGGACTCAAAAATGGAGTCGTGGTTCGAAGATCTGGCACAACTGAGCCTTCCCGTCTTCAACCGTGTGATTTCGGCGATGAGATCGGGAGATCTGAGCCCGGATATAATCGAGAGCTGTCTAATGTGCTACGCAAAGAAGCACATTCCAGGAATTTTGCGGTCTAACAGGAAACCGCAATCGTCGTCATCCACCGCAGCTTCCGAGAACGAACAGAGAGAACTGTTGGAGACGGTAACTTCGAATCTCCCATTGGATAAGAGCTCCAGATCTGCAACAACGAGATTTCTCTTCGGCCTACTACGGACCGCCATCATCCTCAACGCGTCAGAGGCATGCCGCAACGTGCTGGAGAGAAAGATCGGATCGCAACTTGAGCAAGCCACGCTTGACGATCTGCTTATTCCCAGCTACTCGTACCTCAACGAGACGTTGTACGACGTCGATTTGGTTGAGAGAATCCTTGGCTACTTTCTCGACACACTAGAACAAGCAAACGCCGCCGGAATCGAGGTGGACCCACGATCTCCGTCGTTGATGCTCGTCGGAAAACTGATCGACGGATATCTCGCGGAGATTGCGTCGGACGCCAATCTCAAACCGGAAAAGTTCTACAACCTCGCGATCTCACTTCCCGATCAAGCTCGACTCTACGACGATGGACTCTACAGAGCTGTCGACGTATATCTTAAGGTGATCAATACATATCAAAATCTCTCCGGATCCAGAAGATCGGAGAACCGAATCTGACGTTTATTGTTACATTTTCAACAACAGGCGCATCCATGGATCACGGAGGCGGAGAGGGAAAAGATATGCGGAGTGATGGACTGCCAAAAACTGACGCTGGAAGCGTGCACTCACGCGGCTCAGAACGAGCGTCTGCCGCTGCGGGCCGTAGTGCAAGTCCTCTTCTTCGAGCAGCTACAGCTCCGTCAGGCGATAGCGGGGACGCTTCTAGCAGCTCAGACGCCGTCTCCGTCGCAGTCAACGGAGCCGAGACAGTCGGAGAGAAGGAACCTAACAATAGGGGAAGCGGTAAGGGAGGAAGAGAGAGAGGGAGAGGGAGGGAGGTGGAGGGAAACGGTGAGGGAGAATCAAGTGCTGAAGTTGGATATGGATACAATGAGGACGAGGGTGCATCGTCTGGAGAGAGAATGCTCCAACATGAAGAAGGTGATCGCCACCATCGACAAAGACGATCGGCCGAGAGGAGGAGGAGGAGGATGGTCCATTACGAAGAGGTTCGGATGCAAGTTCAAGACGCAGGTCTGCGATTCGCAGGAGGCAACCATGGTCGATCGCACGTCCCGCCGTTCTTGACGCTCCATCTTTTATCATCCTTTCATGTTTTGATTCTGTTTATGCCTTGTTGATTACTGCGTTACTTTGATTTGTTTGTTTTGGACGTACACTGTTGCTACTAGTCCCATATGGTAAGTTTTTTTTTTCTTGGCACAGCTTGATTTTGTTGTAAACTTTATTTATAATGAGGATCGAAAGTTGGTTGGTTCACATGATTTTTTGCCTCAACCTGAATTTGGGAATATCTAATTACTCAAATTAGATTGAAATTGATGCGTTTTATGCTGGGGATGGTTCGACTGAGAGAAGACACTTTTTTCGGGAAACATGATTTTTCTTGATGTATGTATATGAGCCTTTTAAATCTGGAATCTGTCATATAATAAGGCCCAATATCCATTAAGTTAATGTAGCAAAGGGCTCGAAAGCCCACATAACATTAAACGTTTTTTAAGGCCGTAAGATTAGAAGCAGAAAATTGCGATATTGCCACGTGTCACCTTACGAACTATCCATTTACCACAAGACACGTCACCCAGTAGCGTACGCCCCGGCTGCAGCAGCGGAAGCCCAATATAAACGAGAAAACAGCGGAGTTCGTAGACGGTCTCTATTTCTAACTAAAGGAACATTGAGGGGAAAAGACCAAAACAAAAAAAAAATTAACCGTGAGATTATCGAGTTAATCTTAAACGAAGATCCCATTGCTTGCGTTTCTTTGTCTCGGTGGTCAGCGATTATGGGGCGGATGGATTATCTGGCGATGAAGACCGAAGCGGACATGACTGCTTCTGTCGGCTCCGACATGGAGGAGCTCAAGATCGCAGCAAGGAAACTCGTCAACGATGCTGTGATGCTGGGTGGGTTGAGTTTTGGAACCTCTTTTCTCAAATGGATCGCTTCTTTCTCTGCCATGTGAGTTTTCATTACTGTTTCGCTCGCAATTTCTGATCTGCTTCGATTGTGCTCGTTGTTTGGATCTGGAGAAAGAGAGAAAGGGTTGTTGAACAATTGCATCTGATCGGTTGTGGATTAGGGACTGTATCTGACTTTGTTCTCAGTAATCAATCGAATTTTCTGCGCTGGAGATTATGTCATGTTCTGTTCTTTTTGCCTCCCGTTTTTTCAATTGTAATCTCATGGGTTTACTCGTCAAGTATTGGGTTAAGAAAACAATCATTCAAGGGAGCTAATTTCATGACACAGTTACTTGTTGATATTGGATCGTACTAATTGGAGGACCAACATGCTTACTGCGCTTCTTGTACCGTACATTTTATTCAGTCTTCCCGGTGTTATTTTTCACTTCCTAAGGTAACCAACAACCCTCCTCCCTCGTGTTTTTTTCCCTTCTCATAGGATTTTCATTCATTTTTCTTCATGAGAATTTCTTTTGGGTGTTGTTATCAGAGGAGATGTTGGGAAATGGATTGCTTTCATTGCAGTTGTAATCAGGCTTTTCTTTCCACGCCATTTCCCAGGTAGAGTTTGGCTCTGTCACACTTAAGAAACCTTAAAACCATTACATTGGTCTCAGAAAGACAGTATAAAGAGGTGAAGTTGAAAATGGGCAGATTGGCTGGAGATGCCGGGTTCTTTGATACTGCTTCTGGTGGTTGCTCCAAACCTATTTGCATACACAATAAGGGGGCATTGGATGGGACTGGTGATATGCCTTTTCATCGGATGTTATCTTCTTCAAGAGCACATCCGAGCTTCTGGTGGATTCAGAAACTCCTTCACTCAGAGCCGCGGAGTTTCCAACACTTTGGGAATCATCCTTCTCTTGGTTTTCCCCGTCTGGTCCTTGATCCTTCGTGCCTCTTAAACTGCCTCTACTCTCCCTCCCTCTCTCCTTTTAAACTGAAACTGATCGAATAAATCGCTTGGAAACGTTCCGGATTTACAATTGCTTCTCCTCCTGTTTCTGTTGCGGCTTTTTAGCTTGGTCTTGCATTTACTTTACTACTCTCAAAGTTCATTCATATATTTATTTATCGTGCATATTCATAATTGTTTTAGCACAAGATTCAGAAGCAAGCACAAGGATATTGAATTTTTAATTTTTTATTGTCCGCAAACTTAAATATTAGCATTATCTTCAGAAGAATGGGTTTAGTATTTTTAAGTAGATGTTCAAATTTTTTCTTCATATCAAATTTTCAATTGGCCTATGTTGAAGACCGTTTAGCGGCTGGAGAGGTCTCCGGGCACAAGATTTCATTGTTACGGCGGAGGATGACGACAGGAGCTCTCTTCTCGGGGAATCCTATATCACTCTCACTCTCTCTCTTATATTTTCGAATTCGAATTTGTTAGGCGCTTCTCACGTATTCCTTTTCTTTTCTAGAGAAAAAAAAAAAATTTATGGGTTTGTCTTTGTCCTCATAATTAATCTTGTGATATATCTTCTTTATTTATTTCAAAATAGAAGGTATTTTACTTTTAAGGCTGAATTAATATGTTCTTCGCACAAGAGCACAGGCCCATTAGCTCAGTTGGTTAGAGCGTCGTGCTAATAACGCGAAGGTCGCAGGTTCGAAACCTGCATGGGCCATTTTATACTCTTTTGTTTTATAATATTCCCAGAATTTCCAAGGCATCATCTCTGAATGAGACAGTATCTATATTTCCTCTTAGAATTTCGCCACGTGGCGAAGAGAGGACCAGTCGCCAGGTATCCTCCGAAGCAGACCAATGAAAAAGCAGGCCTTATCTTAACCTTATCTCCTCCCTCCGATTATTACATCTCTTTCTTCTTCTGATTTCTGTGAACACAAAAACAAAAGGAGTCAGTCGCCATGGCAGCCTCTCTCCAAGCCGCCGCAACTTTCCTCCATCAGTCTAAGATCTCCGCCGCTCCTTCCCGCGGAGGCCATCTCCGGTCGTCTCGTATCACCTGCTCAATCCAGTCTGACCTCAAGGACTTCGCCGGCAAATGCTCAGACACCGCCAAGATCGCCGGCTTCGCTCTCGCCACCTCTGCTCTCGTCGTCTCGGTAAAGCGATTCTTGTTACGCATATGTTTTTTGTTGATTTCTTGTTCGAATCTGGACTTCCAAAGTTGATCGATTGATTTTTTTTTTTTTTTGGGTAGGGAGCGAATGCGGAGGGGGTGCCGAAGAGGCTGACGTTTGACGAGATCCAGAGTAAGACATACATGGAGGTGAAGGGGACCGGAACGGCTAACCAGTGCCCGACTATCGACGGCGGCTCGGAGACGTTCGAGTTCAAGGCTGGTCAATACTCCGGCAAGAAGTTCTGCTTCGAGCCGACGTCGTTCACCGTCAAGGCCGAGGGTATCAGCAAGAACGCACCTCCTGAGTTTCAGAACACCAAGCTCATGACCCGCCTCACCTACACCCTCGATGAGATCGAAGGACCCTTTGATGTACCCTTTTGAATTCTTGACTCCGTTTTGTCTCCGGTAATCAAGAAAGGATTCTAATCCAATCCTTTCCTCGTATCTATACCCGACCAGGTCTCTTCCGACGGAACCGTCAAGTTCGTGGAGAAAGACGGCATCGACTACGCCGCGGTCACCGTCCAGCTTCCGGGAGGGGAGAGAGTGCCGTTCCTGTTCACAGTGAAGCAGCTCGAGGCATCTGGAAAGCCCGACAGCTTTAGCGGGAAATTCTTGGTGCCGTCGTACCGTGGCTCGTCCTTCTTGGACCCAAAGGGACGTGGTGGCTCAACCGGTTACGACAACGCGGTGGCCTTACCAGCCGGAGGGAGAGGAGACGAGGAGGAGCTGACGAAGGAGAACATCAAGAATGCGGCGTCTTCCACCGGAGAGATCACTCTGAAGGTCACGAAGAGCAAACCTGAGACGGGAGAGTTGATCGGAGTGTTCGAGAGCATTCAGCCTTCGGACACTGACTTGGGCGCTAAGGTTCCTAAGGATGTTAAGATCCAAGGCATTTGGTACGGTCAGCTCGAGTGATCTTTTCTTGTCCATTCTCTATGTATTTTATCACATCTTGATTTGAAGCTTCTTCCTAAGGATCTTATAATTTCACGTCCTCGGCTACCAACTCGAAGATCAAGCTCAAGTCCTTAAATTTGCGACCTTTCGAAATTCATACCAAAATTATATACATATATATATATATATAGTCTCACATCGTCCGTCTATTCTAATTCTGTACAGAAGGCTAGATCAATCAAGTCGGATCATTCATGCAATAATTACCCATCTAAACAAAAATGATCAATTATTAGGTTATATATATATATATAGAGGCCGTCTCACAAATTTTTGAGGCCCGTACATATTTTAAATTTATATAAATTAATAAGTTTAAAAATAATAATTTTAAATAAAATAAAAAAATTAAAAATTGTATTATTTCCAAAAACATTTAAAAATGATATAAATATATTTAATTTAACATAATATACCAATGACCTGCTATAATATATTTTAATTAGTTTTAATAAATATATTTTAATATATTTTATAGAAACAATCAGTTCTAATAAATATTTTTTTATAACAATTATAATATATTTTGGTTTTAGCTATTAAAAATAAATATTTAATAATAATAAAGATAATTAATAATAACAAAAGTTGTTACAGTTTATAATTAATTTTAATTATTTTCTATTATTAATAATTAATAATGGGTCCCATAAATTTTGAAATCTTATTCTATCGCACCTTTTGAACATGTTCATAGACGCTGTATATATGTATATATTAAAGTATATACGTAGTAAATGGAACGTTGGCTTCGCCTACCGCGACGGGTAAAGTCATGCGCATGCATGCAAGTGTTCGTATGACGGCAGCTCACCAACCCACCTTCCTCTTCTTAATATTTGGACCCGTTAATTCATCATTGATTACTCGTTATCTTTAACAAATGTTTTCAAAACTATATTTAATTCGCATTAATTAGCCCTTATTCATCATATTTCATAATCGCATGAACTTTATATATATATATATATATATGTATGTACAAAAAAAGTTATATGCCATATTTATAAATTTAAGAAAAAATCATTAAATAAAAAAAAGAGGTTTATAATTAAGCACTAAAACTAAGGTAAATTAAAATTTTGAATGGAGAGAGTCGAACTCATGATTGTAGGTTTGCGTTGACAAAGGCAAAGGACTATTAATAACGAAGGTTGTTAATTAAATATTTTAACAAAAAAAGGTTGTTAATTAAATGCTAAAGCCTGAAACTGCTTTTTATAGACTTAAGCTCGTTATATCTCTTCTATATATCCTAATAACTTTAAGATTTTCAAATAATAATTAACAATAACATTATTCCACATCCTGATATATATATATATATATATATGTATGTATGCCTGTGCGCGTGTATGTATGTATGTATGTATGTATAAGGGTTTTTTTGTATTTGAGAAAAGTTTGAGATTAATTTTGAGAAAAGCCCGTCAACGTGATTTAAACAAAAGACAGCTCGATATATATATATATATATTAATTTTGAATACTCAGTGTAAGGGTTGAAAACAAAAGACAGCTCGATATAAGGATATATATAAAATTTCTCAAAAGATAATTTTTTTGTGTTTTTTAACAAACCCTACAATACCCATGGTTTTGATAAATGATGGATAAGGTTATAGCTTTATCCTTTTTTTTTATTAATAGAAATCCAACATGTAAATTGATTCCTTTCCCACCTTATTATATGTTAAACCAACTGCATTAATTAATCTAAAAGTTACCACAAAAAAATTCAATCATGTGAATAAATAATTTACCAATAATATTTAAGTTTTGTATTTCCGATTTTTATTAAAAATAATTATATTAATTTAAATTTTTAATGAACTTTTTTTTTGTTATTTTCCTGTTAAATTTTAAAGTTTTAACATAATTATAACTAACTATTTTTTTAAATATAAATAATTTCAATTCGATTTAATTATATATATATATATATATTCAAATATCCATCTCTAATATTATGTTATCATAATATTATTCTAAAATTGTCATGAATATAGAATATTCATAAAATTCTAAAAAAATAGGTTATCAAATAAAAAATATTGATAAGCTAGATAATAATTTTAGTCCTATGCCTGTTATAAGAATCAATAATATAAAATTATTTTTTTGGCCTTTACTTTTTTTTCATTTGGGCTATTTTAAATAACCAACCATTAAAAACTACTCTCGTAATTTATATATATTTGTAATTTTTAGTTAGTTTAGAGTAGTTAATTAATTAATCTCATACTTATTTTTCATATATATATATATATAACGTAACATACTTATTTTATCCAACAAATTCGTCGATCTACTCCACCATATTAACAAAAACAAAAAACCTATGCTTGTATTCAACACTAACAAAAAAAGAAATAAAGTATCGTATATTTATCCGTACAAAACTTGTGAAATATTACAATAATGGGCTACAAAAGAGTGTAAACAACAACAACAACAATAAAATTATAGAAAGAATCGTATATTTATTCGTACAATTTTTTTAGTAATGCAGAATGATCCACCAAACAATGTATATGTCACAAAATCCCCAATTTCCACAAAAAGCAAAGCGAAAATCGTAGTAGTAGTAATAATAATAATAATAATAATGATGTCATTCGAGGTCTGGTGTAGTGGTTAAAGGGTTCATGATTCTCCAAAAGGTCATGGGTTCGATTCCACTCTCCAACGAGTCTGTCACTCTTTGGATGGTTTATCTGTTCTACGTGGTTTGTAGGTTATTACGTGAAATCGAGAAGTTTATCACCGCGTCCGAAAGGCTATGATTGGATTCCCGCCGTTAACAAAAAAAAATAGTAATGATGATGATGATGAGAGAAAATTAAAAAAAAAAACAATAAACTTTTCAATTTTAACCAAAAAATACTAAACTTTTGATTTTGTCAAATAAATATTTAACTTTTATAATTTATCAAAAAAAATATTTAACTCTTCTATCATTGCCAAAATAAATAAATGAGTTTATGTGATATAAAGAAATGCAAATACGTCAAATTATTGTCGTTGTTTTTTTACTATTATATATAGTTCATGTATTTTTTGAATCATTTAAAAAGTTTAGTATTTTTTACAATCGCATAAAATTTTTATATATTTTTTAGATCAATAAAAAAGTTTAGTATTTTTTAAAACTCATTTAAAAAGTTTAATATTTATTTGACAAAAACAAAAGTCCGGTATTTCTCTGTCGAAATTGTAGTTTAATATTTTTTTTGGATTTTCTCTAATAATAATAATAATAATATGGGGTAATCACATAAAAATACCCGAACTTTTACAAAAATCCCAAATAAATACTCGAACTATAAAATTGACATATAAATACCTGAACTTTCCAAAACTCCCACATAAATACCCAGACTTTTAAATTTTTTCCAAATCAAAGAAACGCAACTGCTGACTCAGCAAAAAACTGCTGACTCAGCAAAAAAAACTGTTGACTCAGCAAAAAATTGCTGACTCATCATTCAAAAATATTACTAAATGTCCAAATATTCATCTACATGTATTTAAATTAATATATGCATATAAATTCACATATATATACATATATATATATATTAAAAATAAAATTATTTATAATTAATAAAACACATATACA